ACTGAGATCCTCTTGGGATCCCGATGGGGTTGTGTCTCCATGATCAAGTGAAACAGATGCACTTGCTGCATCTGAGTATCTAGAGAGGGTTGAAGGGAATATGCCTGGGGGGGCACCAAGGACTACCGGAGTCTTTTGAGAGACTGCGGTATCTGTACGGGCACGCATTTGGCTCTAGCTTAGGATGGTCTTCTTCCTTTTGTGTCTGAGGATTGGACCGGATTCATCATCAGATTCTTCATCAACATTGACAGCAATATCACCTTAAGAGTTGGTAGGGGAAACAGGAGCGTCATCCGAAGATTCGATGGCCCTGGTCTTGCGTTTCTTTGAGGATTCACCTTTTCGGATTCTGCTGCGGGGAGCTTTCTTGGAATGAACAATCTTCTTACGACGTGTAGTTGTGGGAGGGTTAGATTGTTATGTGGTAGGAGGGAATAAGGCAGGTGCGGATCTTGAAGGACCTTGGATTGCGGTAGTGGCTATAAACGGTTGATTGGGACGAGTCGGGGAAGAATAGTATGGGTCAATACCATATGTAGCCTCTATGTGATCAGTGACTTCTCGGGTTTCAAGTCCAATTGATGTCAAGATGTGGGCAGGCAATCTTCTTATAGGTCCAAAAATTGATTGATCTTTTGAAATAGTGTACCTTTTTAAGTCTCGGGTAATAAAGAAGTTGATATCATCACCCATGTTGAGTCTAGCATCCTTATGGAGGTCCGAGATGCATAGAGACCAGAAGCGTACGAAGGTGAGTTCAGTGGGGTCTTCTTTCGGATTCTCCTTGGGAACGTATTGAAGAAAATCATCCCATAGTATCTTACCGTAGTTAACAGCATTGCATGTGAAGATGCTCCACACTATTTCCAGCAGTTTCAGTCCCATGTTATCCGTGCCTCCAGTTCGACCAGAGAGACTGCGGATGACAAAGTGGCAAACGAATTTCCAAACAACAGTCAGTTGATTCTTCTTGAATTCGCCAATCCATTTAAGCTTCTTTTGATAACCCATCTGGTACAGGGTTGATGTGATGTCGCTTGCACTTGGAGAGTAGAATCTTGTTGAAGGAAGAACACGGAGATTGATTGCTTCAAAGAACTTGACTTTAGTCAGAATGACTAAAGAATCATCGATTAAATTCATATGAACTTCTTGAGGGTTTGAGTTTGGGCGAAATGCAGAGAATCCACATTTGAACAAAGTGGAAAGAGGAACCACGTTTGTGAAGGAGTTGAATGCACCATATAATGGATGGAATGACAGAAACTTGATCATCAGTCGAATCGATTCATTGTATGAAGGGTGATCTTCAAAAATAGCCCTAAAATTGCTTGAGCCTATCGTTGGTGGTGGATTTCTTGTGGTTGATTCAGAACCAGTTGGCTGCACTGACCCATAAGCTTTGGATTGTTTTTTCGAGATACCGGATTTCACCATTTTGAAAAGTTTTGAAGAACTTGCAGAAAAATAACTTGAGTGCAAGAAGATTGAAGAAGAAGAAAGATCGTCTTAGAGTTCAGAAAGCCTAAAGCTTTCTTGGGAGGGAAAAAGGGTTTTTATAGTATCGGATGTCCAAAGTTATGCAAATTAATTTATTAACAACTGTTAATGGTAAAAACCCTTGGATTTAATCCATTATCAGCCATTCAAAAATTAATTGAAAATATTTGTTTTTTTTAAATTATAAAAGAAAAAGGATTAGGGCATTTAATGAATGTCAGATTATTATCACACGTTGAAGATCGTGTGGAAGGTGGGGGTTAAAAATATGTTGGCTAATAGGGAAGTGGAAACGGATTAGACGTTTTGCGGCTAAGAGATGTGACATGAAAAGGTAAAAGATTTCTTAAAAGATTTCTTTTATGGGAAAACAATTTATTTTTCATTTTTCTTAAAATGGGTTTGACATGATAAATGTGATTTTGAAAGAAACTGAAACATTGTATGCTACAAAATGAATGTTTTTTTTTGTTTGAGAATGTTTTTCTTTATTTAAAGAAAATCATTAAATAGCACACAATATTATCAGTGAATTTATGAAATGGTTGAGGATTCATTCAATGTGACTGTGGATGGTTTAATGACTACGGTGGAAGACAGTGTTACTGCGGTAGCAAGATCTGAAAGAAACACTTGATAAAAGATCAGAAACAACAAACAATAAAGACCCAAGGAATATAAGTATGATATATGGTTGCGGTATACAGAGTATATTGAAACCATGTATGATAGATATATTACTTTAGGACAACAAAGGAAAACAGAGGCGGTCTTCGATACCTATCAATTTAAAAACAATTGCAGGTCCGGATTCATCATCCCTAACATTTTCAGAAAACTATTGAGTTTTTTTGAATCATGTGCCTTTGTAAACACATCAACAATCTCTTAGTGAGTATTGACAAAAATTAGTTCGATGTTACCTTTGAGAATATGGTATTTGATGAAGTGATACCGAAGTTCAATGTGCTTCGTCTTTGAGTGATGAATGGGATTGTGCGAAATCGCAATGGCACTCTCTGAGTCACAGTAAATCGGTATCTGCAACATTCTGTATCCGTAGTCCATCAGTTGGGTTTTCATCCATAAGACTTGAGAATAACAGCTGGCTGCGGGCATATACTCAGCTTCTGCGGTAGACAAAGAAACACAATTTTGTTTTCTTGAGGACCAACTGACCAATCTTCCTCCAAGAAATTGACAACCCCCAGAAGTACTCTTTATATCCAATCTGCATCTGGCATGATCCGCATCGGTGAAGGCGTGAAGGCTGAAATCATTCCCTGCGGGGTACCAGAGGCCTAGGGCTTTGTTTCCCTTGAGGTATCTGAAGATTTGCTTGACTGCGGTCAAGAGCGATACTTTAGGATCAGCTTGGTACCTGACACATAAGCTTGTTGCGAAGACAATGTCTAGTCTGCTTGCAGTGAGGTACATCAAGGAACCAATCATTCCTCTATAAGTCTTGAGATCATCTGATTCTACGGAAGGATCAACAAAAATCTTATATCTGAAGGTCATAGGAACCTTAGCGGCGGAACAATTGTCCATTGCGTATTTCTTCAGCATTTCAGAGGTATACTTTTCCTGATGAATGAATATCCCTTGAGGGACTTGTTTCACTTGGAGTCCTAGAAAGAAATTGATCTCTCTATTCATCCTCATTTGGAATTTGTTAGTCATGAGCTTTGTAAATTCATCCACCATACCTTGATCTGTTGAACCATATATTATATCATCCACATAGATTTGGACAAGCATAAGGTGATTACCGTTTGTATTTCTAAACAATGTGGGATCAATCACACCTCTTTTGTATCCGGACGTGACAAGAAACTCAGAGAGAGTCTTGTACCATGCCCTTGGTGCTTGCTTAAGACCATAGACTGCTTTCTCAAGCTTGAAACAATAATCTGGGAAATCTTGACTTTCGAAGCCTGGAGGTTGTTGCAAGTAAACCTCTTCTTTCAGTTTACCATTCAGGAAAGCACTTTTTACATCCATTTGATGTACTATGATATTTTTGTGTGCCGCATATGCTAAGAAGATGTGTATGGATTCCATCCTGGCTACGGGGGCATAAATTTCATCATTGTCAACACCTTCCAGTTGACTATACCCCATAGCAACTAATATTGCTTTGTTTCGCACGACCGCACCGGATTCATCAAGTTTGTTTTTGAACACCCATCTTGTTCCAACAAGGGTGTGACCGTTTGGCTTCGGAACCAGTTTCCAAACCTTGTTTCTTTCAAACTCGGCTAGTTCGTCTTGCATGGCGATGATCCAGTCAGGATCTAGGAGAGCTTCCTTGATGGATCGAGGCTCTACTGCGGACATGAAGGCTGCATAGTGGCAGTGGTCCGTTAGGTCATTATAAGATCGAGTTTATACGTCTGCTGTTGGGTTACCAATGATTTGACCCGGTGGGTGGTCCTTTGTCCAGACGTGCAGTCGAGGTTGAAGGTGATCATCGACTACGGTGGAGGGAATGTCTTCGATATCAGGAGATTCTGCAGTTGGGGAAGGCAATTCCCCCTCGACTTGTGAACAGCCCGCGGGAGTGTCTTGGACTGAAGGACTTTGATCAGCATTTGAGTGAAGTTCCCCCTGGATTGCGCACGGGAGTTCCCCCTGGATTTGTAAGTAAGTGATATTCCTTGAGTCAGTTCTTGTGTCAATATTCTCTATTTCTTCATCATCAGAGTTTGAGGAGACATTTGATGGGACGTTGACTCCGGGAGTAGATGCCCGAGTTGCTTCTTCAAGCACTGGAACCTCGATGGTTGTTACTTAAACCGGATTTGAGCTTTCCTCCTCAACCGGCAAGGTGGAAGTGTTGAATGACAAATCTTCAGATAGAGTTGGGCCAGAGACTTCGGCATCACTACAAGAAAAACAACCTTTTACGACGCGCAATGCGTGTCGTAAAAGGCTCCGACGACGTGCAAATGCGTGTCAAGAAAGGCCTTGTCATAACGAGAGACAACGCGCTTTTGCGCGTCGTCTATTTACGACATGCATTTACGACGCACAATTACGACAAGCATTTACGACGCGCGTTTACGACAAACATTGCGTATCAAGGAAGGCCCTGTCATAAAGGAAGATGACACGCATTTGCGTGTCGTAACCTTACGACGCGAATTTACGACTCGCATTGCGTATCATTAAAGCCCCTGTCAAGAAAGGTCATGTCATAAATGAAGATGACACACATTTTTGCGTATCATAATTTTAAATGTTTAAAAAAAATATTATTTATAGATTTACTAATTTTTCAAATTAAATTTGTATTTAATGTCTCATAATAGAAAATAAAATAGCATATACGAAAAATACAATTCATGGCATAAAATTTAATGTCATACAAATAATCGTTCCATGGAAAGATAAAACAAATCAATAGAAGTTGTAACAAAAATGTACAAAGTAATTAGATACAAGAAATATAACAAAATATACCCTCAAATGCTTTTAAAAGTCTAATCTCCATGTCAGCTCTTCAACTCACTTCTCCAGTTTTTACTTAGCTTCTCTAAGGGCTCCAGCATCTCTTGTTTCACATATCATGTCAAAAAATTCTCTGTGTCATTGGTTTGCCACCAGGTGTACCAGGTAAAACTGTTGAACTCGGTGTTATGGGCGGCTGTCCACCGGACATGGATGGCAAGTAAGGGCTTGAAGCGTTACCTTAAACAAAAAAAAAATTATTAATCACACAATCACATAATGAGCTTTAATCTAGGAATCTTTATGTTACCAAAGGTGAAAACCATATACGATGGAGGGTGATTCTCTTTAATCACTAATCTTAAAGGAATCATTCATATTTGTTACACGGACTATTTTCAATTATGAGGATAAGAAGGACATTTACGCCTTTTGTATAGACGATAGATCAGAACTAGTCCCTGTTCACATTGTTCACTGACAATACTATCCTTATCCCTCGGTAACCTTCTCATCATGTTTAAAAAAATGATGATTCTGATTTGAGTTCATAGAAAAATCTACTATTCTGTTAGTATTAAACATTATTATTATAAACATCAAGGTGTTATTTTTGTCCGAGTCTGTTTCTATTCTAGATTAAATAAACCATCTTAATGAAATGAAATGACCATTTTACCCTTTCCAAAGAAGAGTTGGGAGGAAAGAAAAAAAGAAGGGAAAACAGGCATAGAATTAGTGTTTTAATACATTAAGCCTGAATTTTTGGCTTAACCCATCAAGTCATTCTGTGTAGAATAAATCAAGATTAAGTTCTTAACCCATTAAGCCCATTAAGTAAAAAAAACAACCCCTTAATCTAATAATATATATAGTATGTAAATGGATGTTTCTTTTTCACTTCATGCAGAAAGAACAACTTAATATAAAATTTAAAAAACGAGGCTTTCTCAATTAACCGAAGTAGAGTACTCTTTTCCGAAATACTTTACAACAAACATCCTTAATATGAGGAAATTATGAAACAAAGAAGAATGCGTCACCTGATTTTGCTCAAAGTAGTTTGGAAGCACGTTGTGTTCACCAAGAATTACTTCACCACTGTTGGGCTTTTGTAAACCCATAGTTAACTTAAGTAGAGTGCTCTTTCCACAACCATTTGGCCCAATTATGGCAACTTTATCACCCCTTTCGATAGATATGTTAGCTTTTTTTAAAAGAACCTACAAAAAAAACAAACCAGAGCATATCCTTACATATTTAATTATCACAAAGAAAATAAAAAAGTTCAACCTTATTATTAATGAATTACCTTGTCTTCATAGCTAAATTGTAGATTCTTTATTGTCACAACAGATCTTCCACTTCTTCCACGTTGTGGAGATCTGATCTTTATTTATTTTCGGATGAATGGCTCGTCAACTTGTTCTTCCTCCTGAAGCTTATCTAGTTTCTGAAAAAAAAATCAAATAATATAACATTTAGTACTTGGTAATTCAAATAATATGTTGTATATAACTGGTTTCTTATATCTTTTATGTAAAGGCGTGGTCAACGTCTTCCCAGAGTCTTGGTCCTTGCACCTACCAGGGAGTTAGCAAGGCAAGTAGAATCAGAGATCAAAGAGTCTGCTCCATATTTGAGCATTGTTTGTGTCTATGGTGGCGTGTCATATAATTCACAGCAAAATGCATTGTCTCGTGGAGTTGATGTGATGTTGGAACACCAGGAAGACTTATTGACCTTATTGACGGTAACACCCTAAATTTGGTGGAGGTTCAATTCTTGGTTCTTGATGAATCTGATCAAATGTTTGCTGTTGGTTTTGAGGAAGATGTAGAGCATATATTGGAAAAGCTTCCATCACAGAGGCAAAGCATGCTTTTTTCAGCAACAATACCTGGTTGGGTCAAGAAACTCTCAAGGAAATATGTCAACAATGTAATGTTTGTTAAGCAGAAAAAAACAGAAAAACATACATTTTTCTTTAATCAAAAAAACAAATCATAGCTATCTAACCTCTCACAAAGTGAATTCCACTTCTGCCCCTGTAATAAAATTCAAAACATCAAACAGTAACCATTTTTAAACAACTCAAGGGTAATGATGTCAGATTGTTGATTACCAAAAATGACGCCACAATGTCGTTGTTGCCTGTATCTACCTAAAATAAATGAGGGATATTAACCAATGTAGAGTTGAATATATATGTTGTTGAGATAGTAATCATGTCAAGTGTTAGTGCAACAGGGGTTGTATTGCCAAAAATAACCCAGGTTATGGCTAACACTTTAATGAAAAAAAATAAAAAGAAAACGCATGGAGCCTAATATTGTAGACCAAATTTGAATTGAATTTAAAGAAAGAGTGTCAAGAACTCCTGCAAGCTTAGTGTTCAACTTAAAACAAGTAGGGTTTCCCATTAATCGTGCACAGCTTATTAGTGGTTTGTAACATCACTAGTGAAGGTCAAAATAGTCAAACAGGCAGAATTTACATGTGTCAGCAATGTAAGGCCAAAAAGGTTCCCTAAAAGCACATCGATAACTATACTCAACCACGTGGAATGTTTTTGTAGTGAACCTTTCTTTGCATACCTTGTTCATACAATTTGTTCCGACTTATTGGATGCCATAGGTTCGTTGATCAAATATAAAGATTTCCAGTCACATAGCCTCTCCTGCTCTATACCTAATTATTGGAGGCATAATAATAAAAAGTTACCTGTTTCCAAGCATTTTGGTATTCTAGAAGTTCAACGATGTTATGGCGGATGTTAAACTTGTCATAAAACTGCATAACAGTGAAAAAATATGGTTAAATTGTGAGGAATAATAGCAACCTACAGATCCAATTTTTTGAGCGATGAAAGTTGGAAATCAAAAAAGATTGGAAATCACCATTAAATTAAGTAATCATGAATTCATATATGGGTAATTTAGTAACAGTGGGAGAATTAAGATGAAACGGAAAACATACCTATCAAGTGTTCGAATGTCTAATAATCATACAAAACCATCAACAAAGCTATTTGAATATTGACCTCTATGAACTTGAGAAGCAACCTAAAAGAGACAATACATACATATTCATACAAAAAAATATTAGAAGCAATATCAAATAATTAAATAATAATAATAATATAAAAAATGGGGCTAATCAGCCAAATTGGTTTAGTCACTCAAGGGCCTGCATTACTAAGCTTAAGTATCAGGGACAATATCGCCTATGGGAGAGATCCCACATCACTTCAAATTGAAGATGCAGCTAAAACAGCTCATGCACATACATTCATCAGCTCACTTGAAAAAGGATACGATACACAGGTAACTAAAAACCAAAAGAGTATATGAAATTACAGTTTTATCCTTTTAACCTAATGAGAAAACATGTGTTGCTTTCAGGTAGGTAGGGCTGGTTTATCTTTAACAGAAGAACAGAAGATAAGACTTTCGGTTGCAAGGGCAGTGCTTTCGAATCCTTGTATTCTTCTTCTTGATGAGGTGACAGGTGGACTTGATTTTGAAGCTGAAAGATCTGTTCAAGAGGCTTTGGATTTGTTAATGTTGGGTCGTTCAACCATTATAATTGGTAGAAGGCTTTCGTTAATTAAAAATGCTGATTTTATAGCTGTGATGGAGGAAGGTCAGTTAATGGAGATTGGGACACATGATGAACTTATAGCTTCAGATGGGTTGTATGCAGAGCTTTTAAGATGTGATGAAGCAGCTAAACTACCAAAAAGATAAATCCAGATGCTCTTAAACTCTTATATTAGAGCAAGTAAATTACAAAGTTATAGTTTACTTCTTATGAGTAATTTTACTTTACGAAAAAAAAATTAATGAGTTTATTTCATATCATTTTAGTATGCCTGCAAGAACCCACAACGAGACCTCAACATTCCAAATCGAAAAAGATTCCACCTTACAAGAACCATCATCTCCCAAATTTACCAAATCGCCCTCACATCAGCGAGCCTCCAACCTACACACAGCAAGATCTCCAGATTCCAATTACAACTCACACGGATCTCCAAAAAAAACAGTTGAAAATGGAACAGAAAAACTAATAGCTAGTGAAGTGAATAAAAGAATGGGCTCAGATTTAAATAACAAATTGGGATATGAGTGTCATAACTCTTAAGTTCAAAATAGTGAAACGATTAGATTAGATCATATTTATTATTTCAGTGGGAATAGAAAGTATGTAACCTTTTAGATCCCAATATATGACAGACACAAAATAAGAAGAATATGAGTGAGCACCTACTTCTCAAGCTCCTTAACCCTCATCTCTGCATCCTGACAACTTTCTTCAGCAAACCTAAGCTGCACAATATAAATTCAACAATGAAGACCAGATATATATATATATATATATATATATATATATATATATATATATATATATATATAAACAAAGAATACCATAATTAGAACCCACCTTCTCAAGGACATTGTCATTCATTCTCTTCTTGTAGCATATCAAGTTGCATGAAATAGCAGCACAAGTTAACGAATTGTACATCACTTAAGCTAAAACTGAAATTGAAGGGAACAAGAAAAGTAAAAATTTCCCAGATGGTGGCAGATGAAACGCTGAGGAGAGAAGGAGGCGATCAAGGAGTCACAGATGAAAACAAGATGAAAGATGGAAACCTATGAGAAATTGAGAAATTGTTTAATGTTTTGAGAGAGAGGGAGAGAGAGAGATAGAGAGGGAGAGAGAGGGAAATGGAGAAATTGATCTCGAACCAGATGTATGAAAAAAAACCCTAGTCGATTTGAATGTCTCTGCAAACCTCCGGTGATTCACGTTCAACCCCAATGCCTCTGAGAATAATCTGAAAAGTACGCCTCCGAATTTCATGACTTGATTTGAGTACTCGATTTGAATGACTCTGCAAACCTCCGGTAATTCCTCAAGCGGCGGAGGTGACGGAGCCATAAATGAAAAGAAGGTGTCTCTCCAGTTCAAGGCGGGGGAACTATACAGATCGTAATTGCTGTTATACACTAATGTCCTCGAAAGATCCCTCGTGTAAAACCCTTTCTTCACCTCGTCATCTTGTTCGTGAAATCTACGAACTCCTTGAACCGCCTCATCCAGAACACTCACAGGAATCCCATGATTCACCACCTGAAAAATACCTAGATTCGCGGAGGCTTCACGAATCATCTCCACCATCGATGCTCTATGGGTCGATTGAAGGTCTATGACTGGAATCTTGACAGCAGCGGTGGATATTTTGGGAGTGGTGTCCCATGGATGGAAGAAGATGGGAGGGATTTTCCGGATTCCGGCATCGACGAGGCCTTTGACGCTGATTTTTGTTTGGTCGAAAGCTTTGAGCTCCAATTGTCGATCGTAGCTTGAGCCGACTCAAGCAATGGTGGCAGCCATTTTCGTGAAGATGATCGTGTTATATATGCGAAGGTATTCTCTAGAAATGTGAGTGAGGATCCTTACAATTGTGGCCCTGTGAATGTAAAGTGTTCGATTTCCTGTGAGAAATGAAGCGATAGAGATCGATCTATGGAGGATGTGGGTCGTTCTTTGAGGGATGAAAAAACCCTAGTTTCTTAGACTTTTTGAGGACGGGATTTTCTAATTTTTAGATTCCCGCGATAAGGAGGTCAGGAGTGGCGGAGAAGCGGATCGGAGAGGAGAGAGAAGGAGGGAGAGGGGAGAAGATGAAAGATAGAAAGAAGGTAGAAGACGGGTTTTCAAAATTTTGGGGATTTCGTTTCCCCCTCTACTAAACGTGCGTTTTCATTAAAATTATAAAGCGAAAGGTATAGAGGACGCGCCTTTAAAATAAAGCACCCTCCGTGTTTTTAATTTCTTTTCTTGAGACACTAATTTAAGGGCACGCAATAATGTGTGACATAAATCCTTAAATTTTTTGAAGAGATGACACTTTTTTAATGTCACTCTCTTTTGCGTAACATAAATCAATGAGTGTCGTGCTTTGCGCGTCGTAAAAGGGTCTTTTTCTTGTAGTGCATGTTGCTGTTGAGCAACCGGAGACACGAGAATTTCAGAGAGATGAGCAGTCTCTGCGGGGTATAAAAGGTCATCATAGTTGACCTCAACTATGTTAAGAGGACCCAAGGAGGCTGGGATATCACTTTCCATGATGAACTTTGTCTCAAATGAGGGAGCAGTGTTGCGGACGTAATAGTCATCGAATTTAACATTGAAGCTTTCGACTATCAGCCTTATGCGTCAGATGAGAACCTTGTAGGCTACTTTGTTTGTTGAGTAGCCGAGAAAAATTCCTACGTCTGATTTCAGTGCAAATTTGTTGAGTTGATCCTTGTTGTTGATCACAAAACATCTACACCCAAATATGTGAAAGAATCTGACATTTGTTTTGCGGTTGTTCAGGCCCTCATAAGTAGTTTTGTTGAGACGCTTGCAAACAATGCTTCGGTTCTGAAAAAAGCATGCAGTTGACACTGCTTCGGCCCAAAAGTAGAGAGGAAGGTTTGCAAAGTTTAGCATAGATCTGGCTGCTTCGACCAGAGTACGGTTTCTTCGCTCTACAACACCATTTTTCTGCTGTGTGTAGGGATCTGAGAAGTTGTGACTGATGCCTTTGGAAACCAAGAATCTATTCAAGAGATGGTTCGTAAACTCGGTTCCATTGTCACTTCAGATTCTTCACACCGGTAACTTGATTTGAAGTACAATCTCTTTGATGAAGTTAATCAGAACCTGCAGTGTTTCAGATTTGAGCCTCAGGAAGAAGACCGAAGTGAAACGAGTGATGTCATCAACTATAACCAATATGTACTTCTTGTGATGGAGACTGGCTACGGTGGATGGACCGCAGAGATCAATGTGTAGAAGCTCTAAGGGTTCAGAAATTGATGAATCAATCACCAGTGGATGGCTTCCCTTTGATTGTTTGACACACTCACAAGTTGGGCAGAGAGTATCATTGTTGTACTTTAGTATTGGGAGACCTTGGACAAGTTCTCCAGTGACAAGGTTGTTGATATACCAAAAGTTCAGATGGCATAGCTTGCGATGCCACATCCAACTGACTCCGGATACTACTTTGGACACAAAGCATAACTTTGGTTTGCCGATGATCAATGAGACATCCAAAGGATACATTGTTCCTTCGGACTTAGATTTGATCAAACAGTTGCTTCTATCACTTGTCATAATGTAGCAGTATTCATTATCAAACTCAACCCGATGGCCTGCTTTGCATAGTTGTCCTACACTGATGACATTATGCTTGAGCCCTTCTACGTAAGCAACCTTTTGAATTGAGAAGTTCCTTGTTGTTAACATGTCGTAACCTCTGATTATTCCATTCACATGGTTGCTGAATGTGACGTTTCTACCATTACATATAGGCCTGAAATCCCGAAGGTATTCTAACCTTCCGGTCATGTGCAAGGAGAAAGCATTGTCTATCAACCACTCCTCTTCTTGTTCCTCCTTGCACATTGCTTGAAAAATTACATGGTTAGTTTGGGCACCCAAACTAGTTTGGAGCCCAGGGTTACGTGTGAGTTATTCTTCGTAGATGCATGAGCAGGGACCATAGGGACAGGTTTCGTATCAATCATGAGACCTAGACCTGGGTGTTTGTGAACTTTTGGAGTGTTATGAGGTTTTAGAGAATTACGATGTTTCGTGGGATTACGAGGTTGACCTTGATATGACCTTTTCTGATGATAAAATCCAAAAGTAAGATTTTTCTCATTCATCCAGACACTGTATTTGGCTAACGGTCCGGAGGGTGTAGTGTGAGTCTTATGACCAGTCCAAGTGTGAGTTCTGACTACGGTGCCCTTGGGATTTGAAAAAGTGTGAGCACGTGAATTCCTCCTAGTTTGTGTTCTTTTGACAAATTGATGTGACTTAAAAGGTGTAGGAGTTGGTAAAATCCTTTTCCATTTTGGGTCGTCCAAGGAATAGATTTGAAAACGATGTCTTTGAAAAGACTTGACTTCCTTTTGATATTCGTCAGAAGAGTTTGAAAAAATCCTTGGAACTGTACATTACTCTTTGTCTAATTTGTTGACTGCAGTGTTTTTTGAAAACTGATTTGATATAACAGGTTTTTCAAGACTCTTTTGGATTGAAACTTTGGCTTTGTTTTTTGTTTTTGAAAAAGATTTCTCGCTTTTTACCACGAGATTTAAGTTCCTCTTTGAAAGCCAGTTTTGCTTGGGTTTTTGGTGAACCGCAGTCAGTGATGTTCAACTACGGTTTCCTAGAGACATTTGACTATTTTTGAAAATGAGGGCTTAAGTCATCTAAACTAGAAGACTCAAGACTCATAGATCATTGACCGTATTCAAAATTTTCTATGGGCAACTCATGAAGAATTGGCTGAACAGTCACTGTGCTTTTAACTGTGGTCTGCAGTAAGGAAGATTGGACTACCGCATAGTAACTCAATGATTGTTCCGTAGTTTGACATTTTATGGAAGGCAGTGTTGAGGACTGCAGTCCGAGACTACAGAGAACGGGACTGCGGTCTGAGGACAAATACGTCAGCTCTACAGTTTTATCCAGTCCTTCCATAAGAATCTCTTCATCAACAACTGAATATGTCTGGGAGTTGGGATAAATTGTGCCAATTATGGGAATTTGATCACCTGAGTGATCCGAGGTTTCAGGAAGAATTTCCTCGATGACACAATTCTTTCTCAGATTATGAAGTCTACCGAAGTGGGTTCTAATGTTCTCGGGGAATCTTTTGTCATTGACTGGTAAATTAAACTCTCGATCCGGAGGGACATAGGGACGGTCTTTGTTGAATCGGGGTGATGAGTCCATTGCGGTGGAATACCCATTGGACCAACCCCAATTATATGTGCTATCTATGGTTCCATTATCCACAAGATTTTCAATAGCTTCACTTTCATTAAACAAATTTTCAATTAAAAGATTTAACTGTACATTTTCCTTTTGGGCCAGATCCCTTTGATTCAAAGCTATCCGTAGCTGAGTTTCACACAACATTCTGGCATCCTTTTCTAACAGTAAGTATTTTTCCAACATGGCAAATTTGAGTCTCTTATCTTCTAATCGTCCTCTTACATGAAACATTTCCTGGGACGTTATGTTCTTCTCATCTAAGGCCTTGTTATAGTCTGAAAGGACGGCAACACAACCGTGATTAAGGTTGTCTAAGAAAGGTTGACAATCATGCATGTATTAGTTATTAGATTGGATCATGAGTTTTACCTGTTCAACGATGTTGAGAGTTCCATCTTTTGCCATGTAGTAGTAGTTTTTCTCCAGCTTTGTCGAACCATCCTCATTAGCAGTTGCCATCACGCAAATTTTTCCCTTGCCCTTGATGTTGTTGAAATCTTCATCTTCATCTCCTGAAGACCAAACTTGATGATCCCTCTTGACTTGGGCCACGTATGCCCTTGCCTTCTCCTTTTCTTCCATCTCTTGAGCCATTCTAAGATAGAATGCTCTGTCCTTCACCACATTTGCTTTACAGTCTTTGGCAAAATGGTTTTCTTTGTTGCATTTGTGACAAATGATAACATCATTCTTGTCTTCGGTTGAGGTACTGGAGTGAGTAGGCTTGATAGACTGTGGTGCCTCCTTGGATTGATGAATATTCTGAGGTTGCGGAGACTGGTGAGGATTTTTAGGATATCGAGAATGATTGTTCTTCGAGTTAAAATTACGGTTGAAGGGAGGTTTAGTAAACTGCTGATTTTTGCAAAAAGATGAGGGTGGTAGCCTGTTGAACTGTTGGCTAACAAGGGCAATATTGTTTTGGAATTCTTCTTCATCGTCATATTATGAGTCGGCTTCGTATGAATGTGGTGGATTGTCATACGAGGGAGAGTAAGGTTGGATGTTTTTGTTGTGAGGGGTTTGAGCTATGAGAGCGAGTGGTCCTCCGAAGTCTGCATAGTCTTTTAGCACAGTTGATTCTTATGCTTGTAGTTCACCATATAGTTTGAAAAGAGAGAGAGTGTGTGTGAATCTTCATATCTCCTTGGACTATCATTTTTTCAGTAGTCCAGTGTTTACCCAAACCATTGAGAAACTGAAGATTTATTTCATGATTACTTTGGATGGTGCCAGCATTTGATAACTTTGTGACAATTAGGTTGAATCTTTTGAAGGAGTCTTCAAGACTTTCACCAGGATGAGCTTTGAAGTTGTTGAATTCGTTGAGTGCGGTG